ATGTGGGCTTCATAGAACCTGGACACTAGTCCCAGGGTCCCTAGTGCCCACGTGGGTCTGGTGCCTGAGGACAGTCCCAGTGAGTGCCTGGCCATGAAGTGGGCATGAGGTCAGGGCGTGGGAATTTCCAGAGCAGTTTAGAGAAGTCCAGTGGGGGGGGGGGGGGCTGGGATATCGGGACCTCAGGCTTGCTGCCCAGGCCGGAAGCTCGCCAGCTCGCCAGTCTGCCCTTACCACCTGGTCTTGGCCCCCGGAGCAATGAGTGGTGGGCAGAAGGGACTTCTCGGCTGGGTGTGCAGATGGGCCTGGGCCTGGAAGCTGGGTTTGGCATAAGGAGCTGCAGCCCACATGCCCTGTGCCCGGGAGATCCACCCTTCCCGCCTGAGGTCAGTGAGGGTTGGTGTTGGGTAAGGGAGTTGGGGGTTGGGGGGTGGGTCTCTGGAAGAGTGGGGGAGAGGACCCAGGCTGGGGAGGCTCCAAAGGAACAGGTGGTCATGGGGGAGGGGAAGGAGGTCCAGGGAGGGCAGAGGGAGGGAGGCGGGGTTCTGGACACATGGCTGATACCAGGATGTGAGGAGGTGCGGGGTGGCCTCAGGAGTGTTGTCAGCCCTGCTACCCAGCATGTCCGTGATCAGCCTGCGTGTCCCTGGAAGGTAGGGTGGGGCATGGGGGTAGGGAGATGAGCCGAGGCCAGTGCAGACGCCAGGCTGAGGGAGTGACCTGCTATGCCCTGTGGAGCCCAGGCCCTGGGGTCTACGAGGGTGAGGGGTTGCCAGGGACATAGGGTGGGGACCCCCATGAGAGGACCGGGGGACTGGAGGGAGGGTGTCTGTGTCCCAGGTCTGACTGCCAAGCTCCAGGTCATCCATTTCATCTGCAGAGCTTTGTCGTCTGAGCATGCGTGTGCATCAGTGTCCCTGCATGTCACTGTGCCCGAGAGCGAGTCTATTCCCATGTCATTGTGCCCATGGGTCGGTGTCCCTGTGCTGCTTCTGCCCCGGGCAGTGTCCTCCTGCCTGCATCTGGGTGTGTCTGTACAGTCAGCCTGTGCTTCCTTGTGCCCGACATGCCAACAGGGGGCGCTCAGTCCAATGCACATGCAGAGCTCCTAAAAGTGGAAACTGGGGAGGCGGAGCCTGGGCTGGGGGCGGGGCTTGGGCTGGGGGCGGGGCCTGGGACCCCTCCTTCAAGCCCACTCTGTGGAGGGGCAGGCTGAGGCCCGGGAGGTTGGAGGTTGGGGGGGTGGGTCTGCGTCACCACCTCCGGAGGCCTTTTCCTGTGGGGGGAGGGCGGGCCAATGAGGGCTGGGCCTGTCACGTGGGCCTGACAGCTGGGGAGGGGGTGGCTGGGGACTATGTGGTCCTGAGGTGGTCAGCTCCTGGAGCTGCGGCGCCGAGACCCCCGGCTGCTCCACCCGCGCCTGCTGCCTGCGCTGCTCTGCCGGCCCCACCATGTTCTCCAGGAAGAAGCGCGAACTCATGAAAACCCCTTCGATCTCGAAAAAGAACCGGGCGGGAAGCCCCAGCCCGCAGCCCTCGGGAGTGAGTGAGCCTCTTTGGGGAGGAGGAGCGGGTGGGGACCTTGGGGCCACAGGGGGACAGGGTGCGCCCTCTGCTTGGGCGGCAGGGCCGGGGCCCAGAAGCAACATGTTGGGCCTGCGATGGGGGGCTCACGCCAGCTACAGCCCCCACCAGGCAGGGCTGCAGGGGCCGCGCAGGTCCGGCCAGGACCCTGGCATTCGGCTCATGGTAGGAGGCCTTTGGGGTGGCCATGGCCTCCCTCATCTGGCCCACGGCCGGCTGTGGGACCCAGGGAGTGGGGTGGCGGTGCCAGCTTGGGGGCAACCTTTGGTTGTGGGCTCTGTAGGGTGGGGCTCAGAATTTGGGGGCTCCGGTGCTGTTGGATGTGAGAGCCATGGCACAGCAGAGTAACAGGGTCCCCGGGTGTAGGGCCGCCCGGGCCCAGGGGGTGTACACAGTCTCGTGGTGTTTATGGGGCTCAGGGGTCTCCAGGAGTTGACAGAGGTGTCGTTACCAGGGATTGGGTGCGTCTGCCACAGCCTGAGGTGGGCTACAGGGGCTGGGACCCTCTTCTGGCCCGCCCTCCCCCACCAGGAAGTGGGGTACCCGCGCCCCCGCAGGCCCCGCCCCTAGCTGTGGTTTGGGTAGACGTTGTTTGTGAAAGCTCTGGGGAAGAGGATGTTGGGTAACAGGTGTGGGAGGGGCATGGCCCCAAATCTCAGCCCTCTGACCTCTGGCCTCTGACCCTCATGGGGTCAGGTTGAAGACCCCCCCAGAACCCCATTTCACTTTTTTTAAACTGATGTAGTACCTGGACCAGAATAGGTGCTTTACCTACTCCATGACTGTTATCTCTACCAGGAGTGCCTGTGAAAATATGGGGTGAAAGGGTGGTGGAGGGTTTTGGTTTTGCCTTTGGTTTGCAAAGTATTTCTATCGTTTGTCCTTTTAATTCCGACAGATTAACAGGCCGACCTTCGGTACCGGCTACTGTGTTTACAGGGCAGTATGATGTGCTAGGCCGAGACAGCACCTCCAAGGATCGGCACATTTGGCGCAAGCAGGTATTTCGGTATAGTTGCGATGTGTCGTAAGAAT